CAAATACCATACCTCAATACAGAATGACAAATACCATACCTCAACGTAGAATGACAAATATCATACCTCAACACAGAATGACAAATACCATACCTCAACACAGAATGTACATAACCTTCAAAAATTGTTCGGTGTTTGATCAAGTCTCATCAAACACCTAACTCCATTTTTTGAAGGTTATGATGACGAATGGAAAAGTTTCTAATGACGAAACGAATTACCTCATGTACAAAATCATACTTGTTAGTCAACAATCAGCAAGAGTGATCAAAACCATTATTCGATATCTGCATCAGTAGAATTAGTATATTAAGTGTAACAAAGGAAAGATTCACACGATTTACATGAAAAAATGAAATAGAACAAGACAAGTTTTGTCAGAAGGGTAAGCGGCTTCTGCTTTATTGACGACACCCAAGGTGTAAATTTACATGTAGGTCAGAATCAAGTAATGTGACGTCGTCAAACCGAGAACCGGGGTAGTGCCAATGAAACCACGGGGCAAGCTAGTATGTCTAACAATTGTACTACAGAGCTTGCAACATTCGCCCGTGTACTGCCTTTGTGATAGATTAAAACTATTTTCCTTAATTTCGAACTAAGCCTGTATTTATGAATAATGTACATTGTATATGCTTACCAAGTTTCTTCAATAAAAAAGTTTCTTCAAGTTTCTTCTTAAATTGATATTTAAGCAAATTATCTTGCGGTTACTAAAGTTTGGAAATTGACCAAGCAGAGCACAGTGTGCTTATTATTAAGTACGCGCGGAGTATGCTAAATTTCAAACTTAGCTTAAGTCGTCGTATAGATGTGCATGCATACCAAGTTTCAACAAAATCGAACAATATTTGAGCAAATAATGTTGCTGAAACTAAAGTGTGGACGGACGGACGGTCCCCATACCTCAATACGTTTCCTCAAAAATGTTGGTGGTCAGATAACCCGATGAGGTCATGACAACGACCGTAAAACATGTCTTTAGTCTTAACAAATCTCCATTTGTCGAAACCATGTGTTAGTAAATTTGTCAGTCAGCCGTCAATATCTTTATATATCTAATATATACCAATAGTTGTTATCTATATCTGTATCATTGTTTATAGACAAATTATTAAACATTCTTTAAAAAAGACACTTACCTGAAATATAGCTCTGATATTTTTTCAAGGTTCAATTTCTGGAGGATAGCTGTTTCTGTAATGGGGTTCTATAAAATCAAATACATTTTTGCATTATTGTTTTTTCTTTACAAAGAGAAATAGAAATAATAAATAAAATAAGTGATCAACAACTGCATTAAAAACGTCAACGATAACATATATCGGCCACAAAGACAAACACACGACGAAAACATCAAACACTGACGGCAACAACGACATCAACTGCAATAATAGAAACGACGACGACGACAATTGAAATAACAACGAAACAAAAACGATAGCGACGATACCGACAAAAAAACACCGTGTGTTTTATACCAAGCGAAACAGTCCTTCATTATACATACCTCCCGATATAATAGTACAAACAAGAACTCCCTGTGTTTTATAACAAGCACAACAATATTACAAAAAACATACCTCCCGATATACATACCTCCTGATATAACAGTACAAACAAGAACCCCCTGTGTTTTATAACAAGCACAACAATCCTACATAATATATACTTCCCGAAATACACACCTCCCGATATAACAGTACAAACAAGAACCCCCTTTGTTTTATACCAAGCAAAACAGTCCTTCAATATATATACCTCCCGATATAACAGTACAAACGAGAACCCCCTGTGCTTAATACCAAGCAAAACAATCCTTCAATATACATACTTCCCGATATACATACCTCCCGAAATAACAGTACAAACAAGAACCCTATCTGTTTTATACCAAGCAAAAAAGTCCTTTATAAAATACATACCTCCCGAAATAAAAGTACAAACAAGAACGCCCCTGTGTTTTATACCAAGAAAAACAGTCCTACAAAATAATAACTCCCGATATACACACCTCACGAAATAACAGTACAAACAAGAACCCCCTGTGTTTTATACCAAGCGAAACAATCCATCAATATACATACCTTCCGATATAACAGTACAAACAAGAACCCCCTGTGTTTTAGACCAAGCAAAACTGTCCTTCAATATACATATCTCCCGATATATCAGTACAAACAAGAACCCCGTGTGTTTCATACCAAGCAAAAGAGTCCTTCCCGATATACATACCTCCCGATATAACAGTACAAACAAGAACCCTGTGTGTTTTATACCAAGCAAAACAGTCCTTCAATATACATACTTCCCGATATAACAGTACAAACAAGAACCCCGTGTGTTTTATAACAAGCAAAACAGTCCTTCAATACACATTCCTCCCGACATAACAGTACAAACAAGAACCCCTTGTGTTTTTATACCAATCAAAACAGTCCTACAAAATACATACCTCCCGATATACATACCTCCTGATGTAACAGTACACACAAGAACCCCCAGTGTTTTATACCAAGCAAAACAGTCCTTCAATACACACTCCTCCCGACATAACAGTACAAACAAGAACCCCTTGTGTTTTTTATACCAATCAAAACAGTCCTACAAAATACATACCTCCCGATATACATACCTCCCGATGTAACAGTACACACAAGAACCCCCAGTGTTTTATACCAAGCAAAAACGTCCTTCAATATATATACCTCCGGATGTAACAGTACAAACAAGAACCACTTGTGTTTTATACCAAGCAAAAACGTCCTTCAATATGCATACTTCCCGATATAACAGTACAAACAAGAACCCCCTATGTTTTATACCAAGCAAAAACGTCCTTCAATATGCATACCTCCCGATGTAACAGTACAAACAAGAATCCGCTGTGTTTTATACCAAGCAAAAGCGTCCTTCAATATACATACCTCCCAATATAACAGTACACCAAAGAACCCCTTGTGTTTTATACAAAGCAAAAACGTCCTTCAATATACATACCTCCCGATATAACAGTACATACAAAAAAAACTGTGTTTTATACCAAGCAAAAACGTCCTTCAATATGCATACCTCCCGATGTAACAGTACATACAAGAACCCCCTGTGTTTTATACCAAGCAAAGACGACCTTCAACATACAAGAACCCCCTGTGTTTTACACCAAGCAAAAACGTCCTTCAGTATACATACCTCCCGTTATACATACCTCTCGATATAACAGTACAAAAAAGAACCCCGTGTGTTTTATACAAAGCAAAAACGTCCTTCAATATAATTACCTCCCGATATACATACCTCCCGATATAACAGTACAAACAAGAACCCCCTGTGTTTTATACCAAGCAAAAACGTCCATCAATATACATACCTCCCGATATACATACCTCCCGACGTAACAGTACAAACAAGAACCACCTGTGTTTTATACCAAGCAAAAACGTCCTTCAATATGCATACCTCCCGATGTAACAGTACACACAAGAACCCCCTGTATTTTATACCAAGCAAAAACGTCCCTCAATATACATACCTCCCGATATAACAGTACACACAAGAACCCCCTGTGTTTTATACCAAGCAAAAACGTCCTTCAATATGCATACCTCCCGATGTAACAGAACAAACAAGAACCCCCTGTGTTTTATACCAAGCAAAACAGTCCTTCAATATACATGCCTCCCGATATAACAGTACAAACAAGAACCCCCTGAGTTTTATACCAAGCAAAACAATCCTACAATATACATACTTCCCGATATACATACCTCCCGATATAACAGTACAAACGAGAACCCCCTGTGTTGTATACCAAGCAAAACAGTCCATCAATATACATACCTCCCGACGTAACAGTACAAACAAGAACCACCTGTGTTTTATACCAAGCAAAAACGTCCTTCAATATAATTACCTCCCGATGTAACAGTACAAACAAGAACCCCTTGTGTTTTATACCAAGCAAAAATGTCCTTCAATATAATTACCTCCCGATGTAACAGTACAAACAAGAACCCACTGTGTTTTATACAAAGCAAAAACGTCCTTCAATATACATAACTCCCGATATAACAGTCCACACAATAACCCCCTGTGTTTTATACCAAGCAAAAACGTCCCTCAATATACATACCTCCCGATAAAACAGTACACACAAGAACCCCCTGTGTTTTATACCAAGCAAAAACGTCCTGCAATATAATTACCTCCCGATGTAACAGTACAAACAAGAACCCCGTGTGTTTTATACCTCCCGATGTAACAGTACAAACAAGAACCCACTGTGTTTTATACCAACCAAAAACGTCCTTCAATATACATACCTCCCGATATAACAGTCCACACAATAATCCCCTGTGTTTTATACCAAGCAAAAACGTCCTTCAATATACATACCTTCCGATGTAACAGTACAAACAAGAACCCCCAGTATTTTACACCAAGCACAACAATCCTACAAAATACATATTTCCCGATATACATACCTCCCGATATAATAGTACAGACAAGAACCCCCTGTATTTTATACCAGGCAAAACAGTCCATCAATATACATACCTCCCGAAATAACGGTACAAACAAGAACCCCCTGTGTTGTATACCAAGCAAAACAGTCCATCAATATACATACTTCCCGAAATAACGGTACAAACAAGAACCCTCTGTGTTTTATACCAAGCACTACTGTCCTTCAATATACATGCCTCCCGCTATAACAGTACAAGCAAGAACCCCCTGAGTTTTATACCAAGCACAACAATCCTTCAACATACATACTTCCCGATATACATACCTCCCGATATAATAGTACAGACAAGAACGCAAAAACGTCCTTCAATATAATTACCTCCCGATGTAAAAGTACAAACAAGAACCCACTGTGTTTTATACCAAGCAAAAACGTCCTTCAATATAATTACCTCCCGATATAACAGTACACACAAGAACCCCCTTGTGTTTTATACCAAGCAAAACAGTCCATCAATATACATACCTCCAGATGTAACGGTACAAACAAGAACCCTCTGTGTTTTATACCAAGCACAACTGTCCTTCAATATACATGCCTCCCGATATAACAGTACAAACAAGAACCCCCTGTGTTTTATACCAAGCAAAACAGTCCTTCAATATACATGCCTCCCGATATAACAGTACAAGGACGTAACAGTACAAACAAGAACCACCTGTGTTTTATACCAAGCAAAAACGTCCTTCAATATGCATACCTCCCGATGTAACAGTACAAACAAGAACCCCCTGTGTTTTATACCAAGCAAAACAGTCCTTCAATATACATGCCTCCCGATATAACAGTACAAGCAAGAACCCCCTGAGTTTTATTCCAAGCACAACAATCCTACAACATACATACTTCCCGATATACATACCTCCCGATATAATAGTACAGTCAAGAACCCCCTGTATTTTATACCAAGCAAAACAGTCCATCAATATACATATTTCCCGAAATAACGGCACAAACAAGAACCCTCTGTGTTTTATACCAAGCACAACTGTCCTTCAATATACATGCCTCCCGATATAACAGCACAAGCAAGAACCCCCTGAGTTTTATACCAAGCACAACAATCCTACAACATACATCCTTCCCGATATACATACCTCCCGATATAATAGTACAGTCAAGAACCCCCTGTATTTTATACCAAGCAAAACAGTCCATCAATATACATTCCTCCAGATGTAACGGTACAAACAAGATCCCTCTGTGTTTTATACCAAGCAAAAACGTCCTTCAATATGCATACCTCCCGATGTAACAGTACAAACAAGAACCCCGTGTGTTTTATACCAAGCAAAAACGTCCTTCAATAAACATACCTCCCGATATAACAGTACACACAAGAATCCCCTGTGTTATATACCAAGCAAAAACGTCCTTCAATATACCTACCTTCCGATGTAACAGTACAAACAAGAACCCCCAGTATTTTACACCAAGCACAACAATCCTACAAAATACATATTTCCCGATATACATACCTCCCGATATAATAGTACAGACAAGAACCCCCTGTGTTTTATACAAAGCAAAACAGTCCTTCAGTATAGATACTTCCCGATATAACAGTACAAACAAGAACCCCCTGTGTTTTATACCAAGCACAACAATCCTACAAAATACATACTTCTCAATATACATACCTCCCGATATACATACCTCCTGAAATAACGGTACAAACAAGA